AGGAATATTATTATTTTTTTTTTATTAAATAATTTTAAATACGCTGTTAAGACTCGGTTGGAAACCACAAAGATCGAATTTGGTTCTTACAATTAGAAAGATCGAATCAGTATCAGATAACATATAAAAAAACGAAAAATAAATGTCTTTTTCTCATTTTTTTTTCTTTTTTTTTGAAATTCAAACCGCAGGAACATTCAAATCATGATAAGCTGTCAGTAACGGTTTTAGAATGTTTAATGTCATTCAAAAAATGTTCTAGAACATTATTTGAACATCCATGTTTTTAAAATGTTTTAGAACACTTTTTGGCGGACAAGAAACGTTCTAAAAATGTTGTTAACCCCTTCGTTGGCAGAAGAAAATCGACAAAAAGTATATCCAAAATGTACAGAAATGTTAGTTTTTCAAAATTCAAAATGGCGGATCCAATATGGCGGAAAATATTTTCAAAAATTACTTGGATTTGCTTAAAAATTGGTACACGGAGATTTTCCGGGTTGCTGATTACGATTTCGATGTCAGTTTTTCAAAATTTACAATGGAGGATCCAATATGGCGAGCAATATTTAAAAAAAAAATGCTTGGATTGGCTTAAAAATTAGCATCCGGGGGTTTCAGGGTTGTTGATTACGAATTCGATGTTAGTTTTCCAAAATTCAAAATGGCGGATTCAATATGGCGGAAAATATTTTTAAAAATTACTTGGATTTGCGTAAAAATTGGTACACGGAGATTTTCCGGGTTGCTGATTACGAATTCGATGTTAGTTTTTGAAAATCCAAAATAGCGGATTCAATATAGCGGAAAATATTTTCAAAAATTACTTGGATTTGCTTAAAAATTGGTACTTGAGGGTTTTCAGAGTCGCTGATTACGAATTCGATGTTAGTTTTTCAAAATTCAAAATGGCGGACGATATTTTCAAAAATTACTTGGATTTGCTTAAAAATTGGTACTTGAGGGTTTTCAAAGTCGCTGATTACGAATTCGATGTTAGTTTTTTAAAATTCAAAATGGCGGATTCAATATGGCGGACGATATATTAAAATATTGCTTGGATTAGCTTAAAAATTTGCAATTGGGGGTTTCAGGGTTGCTGATTACGATTTCGACGTTAGTTTTTCATTTTCTAAATTCAAAATGGCAGATTCAATATAGCGGAAAATATTTTTAAAAATTACTTGGATTTGCGTAAAAATTGGTACATGGAGATTTTCCGGGTTGCTGATTACGAATTCGATGTTAGTTTTTGAAAATCCAAAATAGCGGATTCAATATAGCGGAAAATATTTTCAAAAATTACTTGGATTTGCTTAAAAATTGGTACTTGAGGGTTTTCAGAGTCGCTGATTACGAATTCGATGTTAGTTTTTCAAAATTCAAAATGGCGGATTCAATATGGCGGACGATATATTAAAATATTGCTTGGATTAGCTTAAAAATTTGCAATTGGGGGTTTCAGGGTTGCTGATTACGAATTCGACGTTAGTTTTTCATTTTCTAAATTCAAAATGGCAGATTCAATATAGCGGAAAATATTTTTAAAAATTACTTGGATTTGCGTAAAAATTGGTACACAGAGATTTTCCGGGTTGCCGATTACGAATTCGATGTTAGTTTTTGAAAATCCAACATAGCGGATTCAATATGGAGGACAAAGTTAGTTTTTAAAAATTCCAAATTGGCGGATGAGTTTTTTTAAAAAAAATTATTGTATTTTCTTTAAAAAAAAAAAAATGAATTCCCAGGGGTTTTTAGAGTTGCTGATTACAAATCTGAAGTCAGATTCTTAAAATTTTGAAAAACTAAAAATGGCTGATCCAATAGGGTGGATGATTTTTTTTTTTAAATCACTGTATTTTCCGAAAAAATGGGGGGGATTTTTGGTGTCGCTAAAAATGAATTCCAGACTGGCCGCCTGGTTTTTTTTTTTTATCAAAGTTCGGTTGACCGTAGTGATAATTTATAACTTAAAGTTTGTAAATTCCACTTGCGTGCTGTATCTATATTCAGAAACATGTATAGTCTCTCCTGTAGTTACAACACTGGTTGCAAATAAGAGGAACACAATGAAACAACAACTATACTCGGTTCATATAAGATGTTATCAAATATGCGACACAGAGAGAGAGAGAGAGAGAGAGAGAGAGAGAGAGAGAGAGAGAGAGAGAGAGAGAGTAGGGGACGAAATGATAGTAAGAAGGAGATCTTGGAGAAGAGCATGAACGACAGTTGATGGTAATACCACAGGGGTTGAAATGCATTGGGAAAGGGTATATCAGGGTAGCATAGCGAAAGAGAGATATACTCGAAGGATGAGGTAAGGATAGAAGAGATGAGGAAAGAGGAGAAGAGAGGTACCAAGCTAGATCGTGGAGAACATACTCAAGATAGGAACGTACTGTGCATTGTTGAGTCAACGTGCTTGGTTGGCAAGGGCATTCCCTCCCTCAGTCATGAATATTGCGAACGTCACGTTCGTGACGTCTTATTTGCCCGAATGCATTTATATCCCTCGACGGGGATGTACCGAATACTATGTGTGTTGATTCACAGTTATATATATATATAGTGAGAGAGAAATCTATCTTGCTTTTTGATGGGCAAAAACGGTCAAACGCTCATGGCGATCACGTATCATCAAAGATCAACATGACGTCGTCAATTAAACGTTTGATTAATTGCAAGGCTGTAATTAAGACCCATCGATAACATTCGCAGATATTTAACGGTTTATTGCACTTGCTTATATGACCTGTACAATACTATAATCAATAACACCAAATTCCATATTATAATAAGGTCAGGGGTTCATTTACGTAACATTTTCCGAATCACACATTCCGTATTCCACTTTCCACATTTCGGATTTCATTTTTCAAATTCTGAATTTCACACTTAGGATTCCCCTTTCAAAATTCCGCATTCCACATCCCACATTCTGAAAGTGGAATCCGGAATGTGGAAAGTGGAATATAGGATCCGAAATACGAAATTTTGAATGTGGAATGCGGAATGTGAAATCCGGAAAAAATTACGTAATTGACCATATTCTACATTTCGGATTCCGGATTCCACTTTTAAAACTTCGTATTCCGGATTCTATATTCCACATTCCGGATTCCACTTTCAGAATGTGGGATGTGGAATCCGAAATTTTAGAAGTGGAATCCTAATTGTGCAATTCGGAATGAGAAAAGTGGATTCCGGAATACGGTATGTGGAATGTGAAATACGAAATTTTGAAAGTGGGATCCGGAATATGCGGAAAAAGTTACGTAATTGACCTCCAGAATTTCTCAAAATTGGCATTTAACGGAATTTGTTTTTAAAACAAATTTTTACTTTACTGAATTTTTAATTTTTTTTCTACAAAATGACATGAAACAAAGGCACAAGAAATAATAATAAAGAAGTTAGTGAAGATAATATTTTTCATTCATTTTTTCTTTTGCAATAAATTTCGAAACTTCATAAAAATATGGAGAAAAAAAAATCCTCCATTTCTCGAAAAGTTTGAAAACTACAGTTATCTGTCAAATTTAATTCTCTTCTTTTGACCTCGATTTCATATATATATATAGTTCAGATTCGATTACATTCAATTGGGTGAACATAGCTATTTGTTGATTTTTGTAAAAGTAAAAAAAAAATAGAACATTTTTCACATTTTGTAAATTTTTTCACTCATTTGAAAAAAATATCTGTATTGTTTTTAAGTAAATTGAAAAAAAAATTTTCATACGAAAAAACGATTATTTTAGATCCAATAGTTCTTTTGTAACCCTTTTGGAAATAAAATTGTATTATAATATATATATATTATAATATAAAAATAAAATTTTAGAGAACGTATTTTATAAATAGAAAAAAATATGAATAAAAATTTCCATTTATCTTATGAAAACAAAAGAAATTATTTTTCGATATTATCGAAAAATTGAAATATGTCGTTAAAATAAAAAAAAAAAAAAAGTCCGAGTCTTTAACGAGAATTAAGGAATAAGTAAAGGACGATGAAGAAACTTTCGGTAACTTTGCACGAAAGTGTGATTCATAGTGGTTTAAGTATTGTGAAACTTGAAAGATTCAAAAGCTTGTGATTCATTAACATAACTTACTCTTTGTCGACTCTCGTTTAAATCTTGATCCTCCCTCTTTCATCCACTTCATCTCTTTCATTCAAAATGTTATAAACTTCAACCAAAAATTAAGACAATTCTTTTGTCAAAAATGAAAAAAAAAAAAATTCGAAAAAAATTTATCAGATTTTTGGAATTATTTTTTGTTTTTTTTTTTCCAACAATCACATGCATGTTAGTATTAACAGGTATTTTTAAGGACCATTAACTTTTGTTAAAATGAACCTACCTTCATAGAATGCATGACCACAATCCTCATTAACTTCTCTCGACTGTGCGACAATGCATTCTTTTTTCCTCTGTTTTATTTCCCTTTGTTCATTCACCAACGAACAACTATCGTCCAAGCTTTTTCGTCTGGTTTTATACAGGACATTATAATACAGGATAATAAAAAGTATTATTCTCTTTATATTTCTCTACGTAAACTAATGTATTAATTTTTAAATTTAATTTTCTAATAAGAATTTTATTAATTTGGAATATTAATTAATTAATATTATTTAATACATTCATTTATTAAAGTTAATATTCTTTAATGAGAATTTTATTAATTATCAATAATAATTAATTGATATTAATTAATACATTAATTTTTAAATTTAATTTCCTTTAATAAAATTAATTAATTAATTTAATTTCTTTTACTAATAGAAAAAATAGTAAAATATTTTTCTACATCGCTTTTGAAAAAAATAAAATAATCATTAAATTCAATGCTAAATTTGTATTTTTTAAAATACATTTACTTTCATCCAATAATGATTGTGACATTTAGAAAAAAAAATGTAATTATGAATTGTAATATGTAATATGTGCAATTTTTTTTTCTTAATTCCTTGTCAGCATAAAAAATTGTCGCACAATTAATGGATTTTTTTTTATCGGCAATCACCCATGGCCCATCCTTGTTGTTTGTAACAATTTCCTGTACAACAATTTCCTAAACTTCCATCGGGTTGACAATTACGTCCATTAGCAATGCAAGCCATAGTTGAAGGAGCAATCATTAAAATTATTGCAACCAACATCAATAGAAAACCACTCATTTTGAAGCTCATCATTTTGTTTTTGTTTCTCTAAAAAATAAATAATTAATTAATTGAATTTTTTTTAATTAAATAAAAAAACTTATTCTAAATCGTATTTTCTAATTTTTTTTTTAACTTTTTTTAAAATTAAAGTTGAATTTATAAAAAACAATTTCTAATAAAGATCAATTTCTAAAAGTATTTTTCTAATAAATTTTTTATAATAAAAATAAAAATTTACTGTGAGTAATTGTAACTTACTTAAATCAACTTAATAAAATAATAATAACAATAAATAATAATAATAATAATAATAATAATAAAAATAAAAATAAAAATAAAAATAAAAATAAAAATAATAAAATTAATAATAATAATAGCTAAAATATTAACAATATATAATAGAAATAAATTTGTTATAAGATTATTTTTTTACTGATTTTTTATATTTACGTATTAGTTTATATTATTTATTTATTATTTAAACAAGTAACAAAATATATCAGATAATTTTTTTTTTATTTTATTTTTAAAAAATTAATATTTATTTAAAAAAAAAAAACAGTAAAAATAATCCAGTTTTTTTGTAAAACTTTTTAAAAACGATTTAGTACATAAAATTTTATTTTAATCTCCAACAAAATTAAAATTCCAATAAATGTCATAATTTGAATAAATTGCATTTGAAATTTATGTGTTATTTAAATAAAAAAATTTGGACGTAAAATTTATATATTCTCTTCTTTTTTTTTATAACTCAACATTTAACTCGTTTTACAGTAATAAATTCATGTGGAAAATTTGATTTCAAAATTTCGAAGCAAGAATATAAATAAATTGAAGTATTAATACGAAATGTAAATGCTATAAATTTTTAATTTTGTCATAAATCTGTAATAAAAAAAAAAAAAAAAAAAACGAAACGCAAAATCAATTTTATTTATGTACATCACAAAACTGATTGTTAATGAAAAATTGTTCGATTATATTCTATATTCATATACAATTTAAAACGAAACAAATTTGAAAATTTTTAAATTAAAATTTTGAATTTTTTTTATTTTTTATTATTATTTAGTTTTTTTTTTATTGAAAAAAAACTATATATCCTCTTTTATGAATTTTTCTAAAAAATTCAGTATTTTTTTTCTCCCGCTATATAAATTTTAGATGAGCATATCTCAACATTCTTTTAACTTTCCTTCAAGTGAGCGTGAATTGCGAATTCATAAGAATTCGATTGAAATGTTAAAAATAAGAAAAAAAAGAAGATATATAAGTTGGAGCAAAATTTTCTTAAAATTGAAAATTTTATTTTTTGTACAAAGAAAACGTGGATTTATTATTATTATTTTTTTTATAAAATTATAGTCTCTCTTTAGAATGTAACCAGCAAAGTGTAATAAGTATTCTTTTGATCTAAAAGCAATCTAATTGAGAAGAAAAGTTTATATTTCAAAATGAAAACATCTTAAAGTTTCAAAACATATTTTCTTTCCTCGTGTTTCTAAAGTATAAGGATACGAAAGATTTTCCTTTTTATTGATATGAAAAGGTAAGAAATAATTTCTTTAGAAATTATTCTGTCGACTTTGTAGTAAATTGATATTTATATTCGTTTTATAAAAAAAAAAAGTAATATGGAATATTATATTAAACATTATTTCTCAGGCGGAAAAAAAATATTGATTTGCACTGCATAGAAAAAAATTATAAAAGTTTTTTTTTTAGAATATTTTATTGTAATACTGATAAAATTTAAAAAAAATTTATAAAGTCTGACTTAATATTTACTTTTACTATTGGTTTTTTATTTTAGTTATTTTTTTTACTGAAACCGATTTAGTCTTACAATAAAATTATTTAAAAAATTAAAAAATAAGATGTTTGGCTCATAAAATTACAAAAAAAATTTATATTTCTGACTAAATATTGACTTGGACTACTTAAAAAATTATAAAAATTTAAAAAAAACTGATTACCAAATTGCTTTTAGTAAATTTATTCAGTATGTCTGACTTAAACCGTCCGGTACTACTGAAAATATAACAAAAAATTTAAAAAGTCGGATTAAATATTTACATTTACTACTAATTTTTTAATTTATGCAGTATGTCTGACTAAAACCGACTTGAACTACTGATAAAATTACAAAAACAGAAAATCTGATTAAACATTGATTTACACTACTGAAAAAACGACGAATAAAATTAAAAAAGAAAGGCTGACTACATATTTAGTCTTACTACTGATTTTCTAATTTATTCGTTATGCCTGACTGAAAAAGATTCGTACTACTGGTTAAATTGCAAAAAGTAGAAAATTTACCTCTACTACTTGTTTTTCCGGATCCCACATTCCAGATTAAACTTTTCAAATTCCGTATTTCAAATTCCACATTCCGGATTCTACTTTTAAAAATGCGAATTTCACATTCCATATTCCGGAAACCACATTCTCTATTTCACTTTTCATATTCCGTTTTCCGAATTCCACATTCCAAATTTCATATTCCGTATTCCAGATTCTACATTTCACATTCTGGATCCCTTATTCCGGATTCCACTTTTAAAATTCCGAATTTCATATTCCGTATTCCAGATTCTACATTTTACATTCTGGATCCCTTATTCAGGATTCCACTTTTTACATTCCGTATTCCACATTTCGGATTCAATTTCTAAAATTCCTGATTGCGCATCCCACATTCTGAAAGTGGAATCCGGAATTTTGAAAATGGAATCCGGAATGTGGAATATGTCTGGCTAAAAATAACTTATACTACTGATAAAATGTTAAAAACTATAAAAAATCAGTCTAAATATTGACATAAACTAGTATAATAGAACTACTGAATTCAATCAGTAGTTTAAGTCAATATTTAGTCAGACTTTCCAAAGTTTATAGTAATTTAATCATTAGTATAAGCCGCGTTTTTGGTAAGAAATGATGAATTAGAAAATCAGTAGTAATAGTAAACATTTAGTCAGACTTTCTGCTTTTTGTATTATTTTCAGTAGTTCAAGCCGATTTTAGTCAGACACAATAATTAAATTAAAAAATCAGTAGTTAATGTATAAATATTTAATCAGACTTTTGAATTTTTTTTTAAAATTTTATAACAAGCAAAATTTAGCAGTGACTTTATCACTGTTTCAAAAATTTAAATAACAAATGTAAATCGATTCTATTATTATATTGAGAGGAAAAATGGGAGTGGGGGGGGTGAATTTAATTGTCAGGAAGTAAGAATAATGAAATCTCGAATTTCTGACTCCTTAAGTAGCATTTGATGAAGGCAACTATTTACTAGATCTCTGTGGAATGTAAAGAGGAAGATTTCTAGAAGTTCCAAGGGAATTAAATGCAGTCATTCCCACTTGGTGGGTACAATCAGTATCAATACAAAGTTCTATAACGATGGAGAAACTCTCTGATTCGAGACCCAAGGATTCTCTCTCTCTCTCTCTCTCTCTCTCTCTCTCTCTCACTCTCCTTTCTTGTCGTAGTCAAGCATAAGGATTCACAAACGGATGGTTGCTCAGAAAGCAATGATAGCAGAACAAAGACAGTGCAAGTGTGAATCAAAATTGGAGAGACAGAGAAGACAATGGAACTTGGAATATATATATATATATATAAAGGGATGCAGCAGCAGCAGCGAGTGAAGAGAGGAGAGTGGCTGGCGTGATTGAGAATTATGGCCCCAGCTTCTGCTTCTGCAACAGTTTATGTCAGTTACAAACTCGCTTTGGTCAATTCTACCCACGGCCTTTGTCATATTTGATGGAAATATTAATTTAGGCAAAGTCACGTGTCAAAGACAACTTTCTACCGCTTCCTTAATTATCAAACAATTCATGCAATTAGCAAACAATTACATCTCTTGTTTATTTCGTTTCTCATGATTAATTTTACTATTAAATTAGTAAAAAACTATTTTATTTTTCGATATTATGCAATTAGTTAATTTTATGCAATAAACGAAAGTTTTTCCTAGAAAACAGTTTTTCTTTTGTAATTTATGAATAATTATATGCCTAATGAAAAATAGAACTTTTTTTCACCACTTTTGGTGAAGGAGAGACTTTTTTAATTTCTTTTAATTTTATCAGTGGTAAAAATAAATATTTAGTCAGACTTTCTAATTTTTTGTAATTTTATTACAACATACGATTTTTGTATTTTAAAAATGTATAAATTGATCAACGAATAAAATCACACAAAAAAGTAAAGAAAGACTGACATAATATTTACCTCTAGTACTGAGAAAATTACCAAAAAAAAGCCGGATTAAACATTTACTTGTACTACTGAGAAATTTACCTAAATTTTAATAATCTGCCTGAATATTGCCTTAAATTACCAGTAAAACTAAAAAAACAGAATTACAAAAAAGTGTGAATAACATTTAGTTTTACCACTGATTATTCTAGTTTACGTCTTACTAAAATCGTCTTATATACTACTGAAATATTTTTTAAAAGAATGAAAAAAAAATCTGACTAAATATTGACTTGAACTACTGGAAAAACGACAAATAGAATTAAAAAGAATGGCTGACTATATATTTAGTCTTACTACTGATTAGTAGTAAGACTTTTAGTACTGATTATTTAATTTTTTCAGTATGTCTGACTAAAATCGTCCGGTACTACTGATAAGATAGCAAAAAAAATTTCAAAAAAAGTCGGATTAAATATATACATTTACTACTTATTTTCTAAATTATTCATTACGTCTGACTAAATTCTTTCTATACTACTGATAAAATTACAAAAATGAATAAAAATCTGACTGAATATTGACTTGAACTACTGACAAAACTATAAAACAGAATTACAAAAAAGTCTGACTAAATATTTACATTTACTACTTATTTTTTAAATTATTCATTACGTCTGACTAAATTCGTCCTATACTACTGATAAAATTACAAAAATGAATAAAAATCTGACTGAATATTGACTTGAACTACAGACAAAACTATAAAACAGAATTACAAAAAAGTCGCATTTAATATTTACATTTACTACTTATTTTCTAAATGATTCATTACGTCTGACTAAATTCGTCCTATACTACTGATAAAATTACAAAAATGAATAAAAATCTGACTGAATATTGACTTGAACTACTGACAAAGCTATAAAACAGAATTACAAAAAAGTCTGACTAAATATTTACATTTACTACTGATTTTTAAATTTTATCATTAGGTCTGACTAAAAGTGACTTGTACTACTGATAAAATTACAAAAACCGTTGAAAATCTGATGAAATACTGACTCGAACTACTGATAAAATTACAAACATTTTGAAAGTCTGACAAAATATTTACTTATACTACTGAGAAAATAAAATATTAAAAGTCTGACTAAATGTTTACTATTACCACTAGTTTTCTAATTTCGTTTTTTTTTATTGAAACCAATTTTGATCTACAAAAAAAATTACAAAATTTGACTGAATACTTTTTTGTACTACTGATAAAATATTTTGAAAAGTCTAACAGAATATTTACTTTTACTACTGATTTTCTAATCTACTTATTGTGCCTAAGACTATTTTACACCACGAATAATGTTACAAAAAATTACAAAAATCTTGCTAAAAATTTATTTCTATTTTTGTATATAGTTCTTTCGTCATGTCCGACTAAATTTATACCTTTACTACTAATTTTCAAATTAATCATTATTGACTAAAATCAATTTGACTCTACTAATGAAATCACAAAAAAAAATCAGAACTAAATATTTATCTTTACTACTAATAAAATTTTTGAAAAAGTAGAAAAAACCTCACTAATTTTTTAAGCAAAGCCCAAACATGGAAAATTTCCATAATGTTGGAATATCTCGAACCACAACCACATTGCGTCTAAACACACGCCATTTGTTAATGCTACCTAATTTTCCCCAATTATTTATTCTTTCTAGAATTTTTTCTTTTTTTTATTTAAATTGTTGAACAAAAAATGTTCCACTATTTTTTTTTTGCCAGCCACACGCAATCTGTGTAAATCTTCCCGTAGAATGTGCGGGATTATATAAGTTTTCTTTTATTTTTCCTCTATAGCCAAGAGGCAGACGACTCGCATTATTCCATTTGGTCCAAAAGCATCTGTGGAAGTGGAAATTAAAGCGAAGAACATTAACAAAATTAATTCCCTTGAGTCTGGTTGTTCTTTGTTGAGTTTATGACTGCGATTTATGACTCGAACATCAAGTAGTCTTTACAACGGCAGTATAGGGATTTTATAGCTGGAAAACAAGTCATATCATGACATTAAGAAAAAATAGTAACAAATTTCAGAGAGAGAGAGAGAGAGAGAGAGAAAGATTAAATTGTTTGTTCAAAAACGAATTTTTAAGACTCCAATTTTTTTTCAGGGTAGACAAAATAATTTTTCTCTACATCTACTTTTGACTAAATTAGTTTAAAAAAAAAATTTTCTGAATATATTTGTTTAAATTTAATTTTGTTTTTTTTTCCTCGCCTCAATGAAAGTTTTGCGTGAAAATGTAATTAGCGCCCGGGTAACCAAAATACATAAAAAAAATCGAATGAAAACGATGAAGATAAGGCGGGAAGACACTTACAGTGGGAAAGCTCCTCCAATTCCAGACCAATGGAACTTAAAATCAGATAGAAAGTTGAGAATTTCTAAGTCGTATGTCTCTCTCTCTCTCTCGTAACTATCCTCGACTTCTGTTTCCGCTCCTTCCGTTTCGCCAGTTTGATATGAACTTTGGAACCAAACTCGTTTCTGAAACACCCTCATCCCCCTCTCAAGAAGAACGTCGTCCATTTCGGTATCCCGTTTCCGCCTTAAGTCATATAAGAGTCCCACAGCACGGTTTCTCTCCTAACTATGATATTTACGTGCGACGGTCGCACAGGACCAATTAAGAATGTAAATAATTTATTTCAACTTTAAGAACATTCAAAAAAAATTTTTTTTTTAAATTCAATCAAATAAATATTTATTTGGCTCTGAGACAAATATATAATTTCTCTGTGTGTGTAAAATTTTTGTAAATTTAATTATTATCATTTAAAATTTTTCAAAACCCCAGATAGCACGGAAACTTGCAGCAAGCTTGCGGCAAGTTCACCGTGCAAGCTTGTCTGAGCTAGCGAAATGTCCCACCCAGGGCAAGCTTGTCGTGAAAGCTTGCTGTAAGCTTTCCAGGAAAGATTGCTGCAATCTTGCCATGAAAGATTTCTACAAGATTGCTGCAAGCATACTAAGAATGATTGCGGCAAGCTTGCCGTGAAAGATTGTTGTAAGCTTGCTACGTAAGGTTGCAGGAGAATTTCAACAAGCTTCTGGAAAGGTTGCTGCAAGCTTGCTGCAATTTTTAAAAAATACATTTTAAATTTTAAAAAAATTTATTTGTTTTTTTTTTAAATTGCAGCAACCTTGCAGCAACCTTTCCAGAAGCTTGTTGAAATTCTCCTGCAACCTTACGTAGCAAGCTTACAGCAATCTTTCACGGCAAGCTTGCCGCAATCATTCTTAGTATGCTTGCAGCAATCTTGTAGAAATCTTCCATGGCAAGATTGCAGCAACCTTTCCTGGAAAGCTTACAGCAAGCTTTCACGGCAAGCTTGCCCTGAGTGGGACATTTTGCTAGCTCAGACAAGCTTGCAGCAAGCTTGCACGGTGAACTGGCCGCAAGCTTGCTGCAAGTTTCCGTGCTATCTGGGACTATTTTCCAAAAAGTAAAAATGCAATTTGCAAAAAAAAAATGAAAGTTCAATTTTTTTTTAAATTAACATCTTTAAAGAAACAAATTCTTTTGCTGTAATATATAGATAAAGTTTTTGTAATTTTTCTTTTTTTTGAAAATTTATACCATGCAATTGTAAACAATACTCCCGAAGGGCACCGTAATAAAATGATGTTGGCCTAATTTCACTTTAATTACTCAGGGGAAGCCTCTAGGGTCACAGTTACGTTGCATTTCACAAAACAGAATCTGCCTTTAGGTTTCGTATCTGCATAAATCAGGTCACATGAAACAATGGAGTAAAGATGTCTTGCTTCAATATTTATTGACGTTTCAATACCACAGCCGCTATTGTCAGCTCTTGCGTTGAGGAAAATGATATACATTATAATGTCATTATTTAAATTTTTCTTTTTTTTTATGCTAAATAATTATTATTATTGAGATAAAAGATTTTACTGATTAAATAAGATAATTTTAAATAGAATTTTTATTAACATACTTAGAGAAAAAGATATATTTTTCTTAGTGTTAATTATTTGTTTCAAAAAAAATTATTTGTTTCAAATAATTATTTATTTCAAATAAATTATTTACTTGTTTCAGTATAAATATTTGTTTCTTTTAAATAAATATTTCTTTGTTGTAAATAAATTTCATTTTGGTTAAAATAAATATTTTACTTGCTGGAAATAAAATTTTATTTGTACTAAATTAAATTTACTTGAAATAAATAAAATGTTACTCTGAGATAAATATATTTTTGTTTGATTGAAATAAATTTTATTTTGTTTTAAATAAACGCTAATAAAATATTTATCTCAGTAGTAATTATTATTATTATTATTATTATTATTATTATTAGTTTAAAAAAAGAGAAAAATTCTCATTGCTTGTTTTATTTTGATTTTTATAATTATAAAAATTCAATTTCTATTTCTACAAATTCCAGCAACCCATCCTTCTTCTTTGTAACAATTTCCCGAACAACATTGAGGCCATGCCCAAGGCTGACATCCATTTCCAGTTGCGATACACGACATTGCTGGTGAAACTATCATTAAAATTGCTACAATCAATAGCAACAATAGGCCGTAGAATTTGAAGCTTGACATTTTGTGTCGTGCGCCTCTATAAAAGTTAATATCATCAATATTATTTTCAAACAATAGACAGTTTTTTTTTTTGAAAAATAATCCCTATACTGAAAAATATAGGGAGAAAGCAAGAATTGTAAAAAAAAATTCTATAAAGATCAATTTATATTTTGCAAAACAAATGGAAACTTTTTTTCTCAAAAAAAAGAAATAAAATAATAATCTCTAGGATTAAAAAGCAAAAAAAAACTAAAAAATGGATTTAAATAGAAAAAAATTGAAAATTTACTTACACTGTGTCTTCTTTTATAGTCAAACGATATTCTGAATACAATTTTCAAAATGAAACGAGAATTTATATATGCACAATGATAAGAAAATTAAATAAGAAATTTAAACCAACTTTTTACCAGAAAAAATATTAAATTTTCATTTTTCTCTATTAAAGTACACAAAAAGTTTTCCTTATTTTCTTTTTATTCTTCTTTTATTTATTTAATTTTATTGTGCAAATATTTTTTTATTTAGATTCCAAATGTATATGACCTGTTATAAATTGTAATGACTTTTTTTTATATCTTTGGTTTTTATAGAATTATTTATTATTAAACGAGAATTTTTAAATTTTTCAAACATTTTTATATCTAAAACAAATTTCGAATATTGAAGAACATAAAAATGTTTTCAACGATTAAAAAAAAACGTTTTTGATGAATATAATGAAATTATCGTCAGTTTTTTATTTTTTTTTTTGGAATTACTGATACAAACCTGTTTCACACACTATATATATATATATTCACGTGATAACACAAATTGGTCCAAAAGTGACATTGTTTCTAAAGTACAACGAAACTTGACTAAAGTTTGACTTAACTTTGTGTTGTGGTTTTATTCATGACACTTGTAATTTATATACTGGTCTCTGTTTACCACACTCTAAATTTTTTTTTTATACTCAAATTTATCTCATTACTCATTTTTTGCAAAAAAAAAATAAAATTTCAAAGCAAAAAATAAATATTTTAAATTCATAGCAGAATTTATTTCCGATTCTAGGAATTAATGCAATGGAATTTTTTTTTGAAAATTCCACATGGAATTTCTATAAATAAGAAAAATGCCTTTCTTTTGATTTGAATAAACAAACGGAATTTTATTTTTCAACTTAGAATTCTTAGGAATGGAAAAAAAATTCTCGGGGGTAATTTTGAATTTTTCTTTTGAGAATATTCCCCACAGTATTTCTAGGAATTCGTAAAATAATTCTTGTAAATATATTAAATTCTCATAAATACATTCTTAATTTATTCCTGAGACGAATCTAAGTAATATTGGATTAAAAATGTTGGAGCCGTTATTAAAATTATTCCAATGAAAAGCAAGAAATTGTAGAATTTGAAAATCATTTTTTTTCTTTAGTACTAAGTACAGTAAAAACAAACTAAGATTAAAAATATAATATATTATTATAATAATTATATTATATTTAAAATATTTGAAATATTATATATATAATACTGTTACATCTCAAAATAGGAAATAACTGAAGAAATAATATTTTTTTTATATTCGCTTCGGTGATTCAGTGATTTTCCTGTTTTATTTACAGAGCAGAAGGCTCTGAGCTAATTGACGCGATACAAATGTGTTTTTATATTTAAGTCAAATAAATTTTATTTAATTCAAATAAAAAAATTCTCTATGTGTATGGAGAATCAAAAAAAAAAAAATTTTTTCAGTGTAAATGCTTAATTTATTCCTGAGGAATCGAAGAAAATTATTTTTCGAAAGAGAATTTGTTTCTTGTTGAAATAATCAAAAATTAAAATTACAAAATGTAAAAAAATACACCTTGCATTTTTTTTTTGTATAATTTTCTAAAGGCAAATTCCTCCTATTGAACCTGGTTCCACAGAACAAAATCCAGAGCAACATCTTCCTTCATTTATTAACTCAGGCCGACATAAATATCCACTGCTACTACAATGCGGCCAAGTTCTTGGAGTATAACAAAATCCTTGTTCCCAACTTTTTCTTTTGTAACAAAATCCTCGGCAACATCTTCCAAGTCTATCATCAAATTCACATTTATTTCTTTCCTGAATACATTGAGCCCAAAATATTGGAATTATTATTAAAATTATTCCAATGAGAAGCAAGAAATTGTAGAACTTGAAAATCATTTTTTTTTACCCTTGTCTTTTCTTTTCTACTAAAAGTACATATACTTTGATCAATCTTGTTTTTCTGAAAGAATGAGAATTTAGTTATAAAAATTATATTTTTCCTCTAATAGAGTATAGTCATTTTTTAGTAATAAGTATAGTAAAAAAAATATGAGAGAAGCAGGCGCATGGCACCTCTATCGCAGGGTTTCGTGGCCAATATTAATATTACCGTTGCTAGGGGAAAAAAAAACCTAAGCAACCGTTGCTAAGGAAAAAACGGTCGTGGTAACGGTTGCTATGGTAATAATTGTCATGGTAACGGTTTCTATGGTAACCATTACCATGGCAACTGTACAAGAGTCCTACGGATGGACCAAAGCGAAACTATAAGATTTCGATACTGGGTCACGAAACCCTAAAAATCTAATAATAAAAATATATAATAATATAATATTATAACTAATAATGTAATATTATATATATAATATAATAAAATATAAAAATAAAATCATTCTTCTAAATCTAAAGAATAGAATTAAGAAAAAAGAGTTGTACAAAAGTGATGTTCCAAAAATTTACTTACAGAACGTTGTTTCAACAAGAATTTTAAAAGTATAATGAATACCGTGATGCAAAGCGATTTTTATATCCAATTATTATAAATGATAAAAAAAATATCACATCTGAAATAACATTTTCTTTCATGAAAAAAGAAACAAATTTTATTTTCCTCCTTTCTAAAAAAGAATTTTCTTCCATTTTTTACTGTATTAATTTTTTAACAGTACACAAAAGAGGTAGTATTTCCCTACTTATTGTTATAGTTCTATTTTAAGTAAGGCTCTCTCATGGCCCTTGACAGTTTTTCCACAAGTCTGGCGTTTCCCAGATTAAACGAGAATTACTTGGTTATGCCACGTTTGCAATATAACCTAGAAAAAAAACATATCAAGGCAGTGGAATGGCACTTGCCAGTTTGTCCACAAGTATGGCCTAGAGTAACTTGATCTTGCCATGGTTTTATGACATAACCTCAAAATAAAAAGTAATTTTTAACACCAAATAAAACCGTAATAAAATTAAATTTCCATGCAAAATATTTTATCAAGTAATAATTATTTAATAATAACATTTATGAATTTTAAATTAATTAAATAATAATTAAGTAATTAATTAAATTAATTAATTTATTAAAATTATTAATTTTTTTAAAAAAATTTTTAGCACAAATTTTAATTTAACAGTTTTAATCTGAGAATTTTATCAGCAACTCTAAAGAAATAAGTGATTTTTTGTTTACAGAAACTAAAATTTATTTGTCTTTTTTTACTATATAGGAAAGGTCCTTGGGAGGTCCAGACCATAATTTCTGCACGGGATATTTGCAATTTTTGAAATTTAGCAATTTTGTTATTTATTTATTTTAAATTTGAAACAAATTTTTTAAATCAACGTTATGATTGAAGAGAAATAAGACAAATAGAATTAAAGGTGAAATTTTATTTCAAATACATGTATTTTAAAATGAAGATATTGTTAAAAACAATTGAAAATTAAAATTTGTTTACATTATACAGTAATTTTTAAAGAGTGACAAAAAAAAATTAAAGAGCCAAAATGTTTACAAATCAAAGAAATTGGTAAATTTATTGGATTTGTGAATTTTTTTCAATTCAAACATTGTCAAATATCCTATTTGCAATATCCTGCAACCCAATTTGCTTCTTTGTAACAAAATCCTGAGCAGCATACTCCTTGACTACCATCAGGTTGACATCCATCTCTATTTCTAATACATTGAGCCAAAGAAGTTGGTGCAATTATCAAAATTACAGCAAAGAGAAAGAAAAGTCCACATAAATTGAAGCTCATCATTTTGTTTTTTTTTGTACTGAAAATTAAAATTTAAATATTTAAATTTTGAAATCCATTAATTTATCTATATAAATTTCTTAACTATCAAAATCGAAATTAGAATTTTCGGCTTTAGGCCAAAAAATCCTAATTTTATAAGAATTTTTAATTTTTGAAATCTGATTTCAGATTCATAATTTACTGTCACAGCAAACTTTTTTTATGCGTTTACTTGTAAGAAAGTAATAAATTTAGTTTCGTTAATATTTTCTATTTTAATTAAAAATAATAATAATAATAATAATAATAATAATAATAATATAAGCAGAAAATTAACTTTAACGGTAGAAATTTTTTTTGTTCAAAAACAAATAGAAAATCGACATTTTGAAATTCGCTATTTTTCAAAAGTACAAAATTACTTACTATTTTTGTTGATATGTTCGAAGAAGCTCAATAGAACTGTAAGTACCTACTTGCAAATTTATCGAAGTATTTATATCAAAATGATTTAAGGTAAATTGTAAATGTTTGCACTGATACGAAACAAAAACATTTTTTTCTCTTTGCTTCAATTGCTTGACCCACTGACATATTGTTTGACAAATAAAATGAATAAACACTCTTTTAAATTGTAAAAGAAAGTTTTTACCTTCTTTTTCGATATATTGTTATTTCAGTTGAATTTGCAAAAAAAGAAAAATAAAAAAAAATTAATCACTTGATTCATTTTCTTCGTATAAATACGATGTTCAATCTTAATGTAATCACTTCTAACTCAGTACTTGTAATTTCAGCAATTATTGTCTTGTAAACTTTTTGTAAGTAAAATTTTTCACTTCTAAAACTAGTAATTTAAAAAGATTTCAAGTAAAAAAATATTTACCTGAAGCAACGAAAAGTGTAACTAAAATAGCAAAATGTTTTAATTGTTTCAGTTAATTTTTTCATTATTCTAGTGAAATATTTGGCTTTTCCAGATAAATTTTTTTCCGTGTTAAATGTTGTATAAATATTGATAGAAAAAATTATTCAAAAAATTAATAATCTTGCTTTAAAAAAAAATTTATAATAATATTTAACTTTCAGTACAAAAAAAAACAAAATGATGAGCTTCAATTTATGTGGACTTTTCTTTCTCTTTGCTGTAATTTTGATAATTGCACCAACTTCTTTGGCTCAATGTATTAGAAATAGAGATGGATGTCAACCTGATGGTAGTCAAGGAGTATGCTGCTCAGGATTTTGTTACAAAGAAGCAAATTGGGTTGCAGGATATTGCAAATAGGATATATGACAATGTTCTACTTGAAAAAAATTCATAAATCCAATAAACTTACCAATTTCTTTTATTTGTAAACATTTTGGCTCTTTAATTTTTTTGTCACTTTTTAAAAATACTGTATATTGTAAACAAATTTTAATTTTCAATTGTTTTTAACAATATCGTCAACTTAAAATACATGTATTTCAAATAAAATTTCACCTTTAATTGTATTTGTCTTATTTCTCTTCAATCATAACGTTGATTTAAAAAATTTGTTTTGAGGCTATAAGGGTTCGGCTAGGAGAGAAATTTCTTTGAAAAATAACTAGTTTTCAGGTGGAAGCAAACCTAAGCAAAAATTTACAACCGGCACAGTGTTGCGCCAGTACTGGTAATTACTGGCAAAGTACTGACCGCCAATATTGAACCAATACTGGCATATGTTTGGGATGATAACGTTTATTAGTACTGGTCATTAGTAATGGCTTAGTACTGGCGTTCAGTACTGGTTCAATCATTTTGTTGATTGTCATGTATTTCAAAAAAAAATTTTATTATAAATTGTAAGCATTTCAATTATGGTATATGAATTAAATAAATGAAAATAAATTTGTCTTATTCTTTCAATTTTTCTCCCCTTATTGTAATTTTTTAAGGACTTGTGACTGTTACGTAACTGTTACTTACTGCACTAAAAAAAAAATTTATTTCATTCAAATAATCGGTTACTTGTCAGTTTTTAAAAATTCAAAATGACGGATCTAATATGGCGGATGAATTTTTAAGAATTCATGGAATTCACTTAAAATTCATTTCTCGAGGGGGTTTGGAGTCGCTGATTACGAATATGGCGTCAGTTTTCAAAAATTCAAATGTCGGATCCAATATGGAGGATGATCTTTTATAAAATTCAAATAATTCACTTAAAATTCGTTACTCTGGGTTTTTTTTTTGGGTTGCCGACATCAGATTCGTAATCAGTGCTCCCAAGAAACCCCGAGGAACGAATTTTAATTGAATTCCTTAAATTTTTAATAATTCTTCCGCCATATTGGTACGGCCATTTTGAATTTTTAAAATCTGACACCGAATTCTTAATCATCGGCTTCAAAAACTCCCGAGTAACAAATTTCATGTGAATCTTTTGTTTTTTGATTAGGAAAATTTTATATCTTTGATAATGGACCAAAACAAATACAAAATGGTGAATATTTTGAAAATTTGACCAGATTTTGAAACACGGCTATCGCACCATATGCCCAGTATATTAATATATACTATTATTTGTTCAAATATAATTTATTTAATTAAAATAAAAATATTTTTTATTTGTTGAATTTTGTTTTGTTCATCTAAAGTTTTTGTGAAAAATTACTGTAAAATTAGTAGAAATCTTTACTAATTTAAATTAATGAATGAATTCAAATTTAGAGAATTTGTATAAGAAGTTTGCTGAGATACCGAATTTTTTGCTGCCTCAGCAAAATTGTTAGTTGTCCTAGTAGATTGAATTCATATAAAAAATTAAAATAATTATGTGTTTGGATTAAATTCGATTTTGAATGTCGTAAATGTAAAATCTAATTTTTGAAAGTTTGCAATTTTTTTTTTTTTTTTTACTAAACTAATACCACACAAATTTTTTATCAAATGATTAAAATCAAAGTCATCGTAAAAGGAAGAAAATTAATACGAATTGGAATAAAGGTAAAAATTTATAATTTTTCAAATTTCAAATACATGAATTTTATGTTGAAGACATTGACAGAGACAATTGAAAACTGAAATGTGTATACAATATGTAGTAAAATTTTGTAAATATTTTTAAAATTTTGAATCAACAGAATTAGTATTTTTATTGAATTTATGATATTTTTTAACGGCAATATCCTGCAACCAAATTTGCTTCTTTGTAACAAAATTAAAGAGCCAAAATGTTTACAAATCAAAGAAATTGGTAAGTTTATTGGATTTATGAATTGTTTTCAATTCGAACATTGTCATATATCCTATTTGCAATATCCTGCAACCCAATTTGCTTCTTTGTAACAAAATCCTGAGCAGCATACTCCTTGACTTCCATCAGGTTGACATCCATCTCTATTTCTAATACATTGAGCCAAAGAAGTTGGTGCAATTATCAAAATTACAGCAAAGAGAAAGAAAAGTCCACATAAATTGAAGCTCATCATTTTGTTTTTTTTTGTACTGAAAGTTAAATATTATTATAAATTTTTTTTTTAAAGCAAAATTATTAATTTTTTCAATAATTGTTTTTGTCAATATTTATACAACATTTAACGCGGAAAAAAAATTTATCTGGAACAGCCAAATATTTCACTAGAATAATGAAAAAATTAACTGAAACAATTAAAACTTTTTGCTATTTTAGTTACACTTTTCGTTGCTTCATGTAAATATTTTTTTCCTTGAAATCTTTTTGAATTACTAGTTTTAGAAGTGAAAAATTTTACTTACAAAAAGATTACAAGACAATAATTGCAGAAATTACAAGAACTGAGTTAGAAGTGATTACATTAAGATTGAACATCGTTTTTATACGAAGAAAATGAATCAAGTGATTAATTTTTTTTTATTTTTCTTTTTTTGCAAATTCAACTGAAATAACAATATATCGAAAAAGAAGGTAAAAATTTTCTTTTACAATTTAAAAGAGTGTTTATTCATTTTATTTGTCAAACAATATGTCAGTGGGTCAAGCAATTGAAGCAAAAAGAAAAAAATGTTTTTGTTTCGTATCAGTGCAAACATTTACAATTTACCTTAAATCATTTTGATATAAATACTTCGATAAATTTGCAAGTAGGTACTTACAATTCTATTGAACTTCTTCGAACATATCAACAAAAATAGTAAGTAATTTTGTACTTTAGAAAAATAGCGAATTTCAAAATGGCGATTTCCCATTTGTTTTTGAACAAAAAAATTTTTACCCTTAAAGTTAATTTTCTGCTTATATTATTATTAATATTATTATTATTATTATTATTATTATTATTTTTAATTAAAATAGAAAATTATAAAGAAAGAAAATTTTTTACTTTTTTGCAAGTAAACGCATAGAAAAAGTTTGCTGTGGCAGTAAATTACGAATCTGAAATCAGATTTCAAAAATTAAAATTTCTTATAAAATAAGGGTTTTTTGGCCTGAAGCCGAAAATTCAAAAATTTAATTTCGATTTTGATAGTTAAGAAATTTATATAGATAAATAAATGGATTTCAAAATTTAAATATTTAAATTTTAATTTTCAGTACAAAAAAAAAACAAAATGATGAGCTTCAATTTGTGTGGACTTTTCTTTCTCTTTGCTGTAATTTTGATAATTGCACCAACTTCTTTGGCTCAATGTATTAGAAATAGAGATGGATGTCAACCTGATGGTAGTCAAGGAGTATGCTGCTCAGGATTTTGTTACAAAGAAGCAAATTGGGTTGCAGGATATTGCAAATAGGATATATGACAATGTTCGAATTGAAAAAAATTCATAAATCCAATAAACTTATCACTTTCTTTAATTTGTAAACATTTTGGCTCTTTAATTTTTTTGTCATTTTTTAAAAGTACTGTATGTTGTAAACAAATTTTTATTTTCAATTGTTTTTAACAATATCTTCAACTTAAAATACATGTATTTGAAATAAAATGTCACCTTTAATTCTATTTGTCTTATTTCTCTTCAATCCTAACGTTGATTTAAAAAATTTGTTGAGGCTATGAGGGTTCGGCTAGAAGAGAAATTTCTTTGAAAAATTACTAGTTTTAAGGTGGAAGCACACCCAAGGAAAAATTTACAACCGGCACAGTGTTGCGCCAGTACTGGTAATTACTGGCAAAGTTTAATTTTTCAAAATTTTTAAAAAAATTTATCTGAGTGTAGCTCAGCATCCGCTGGACCAATCAAAAAGTGCGCCATACATTTTTTGTTCGAGACTCCCGGGTTAAGACTTTGGCGGTATTCCCGATCAATTATCTCGCAAATTTATTTTTTCGAAATTTTTTAAAACATTTATCTGAGTGTAGCTCAGCATCCGCTGAACCATTCAAAAAGTGCGCCATACATTTTTTGTTCGAGACTTTTTGCTCAATTTTATGGCAATAATCCCGAGACATTATCTCGCGAATTTAATTTTTCGGAAATTTTTCCAAATTTGTTTTCTAGCGTAGCTCAGCATCCGCTGGACCAATTAAAAAGTGCGTTATACATTTTTTGTTCGAGACTCCAGGGTTAAGACTTTGGCGGTATTCCCGATCAATTATCTCGCAAATTTATTTTTTCGAAATTTTTTAAAAAGTTTATCTGAGTGTGGCTCAGCATCCGCTGGACCAATCAAAAAGTGCGCCATACATTTTTTGTTCGTGACTCCCGGGTTAAGACTTTGGCTGTATTCCCGACCAATTATCTCGCAAATTTAATTTTTCGAAATTTTTTAAAAAATTTATTTGAGTGTGGCTCAGCATCCGCTGGACCAATCAAAAAGTGTGCCATACATTTTTTGTTCAGAACTTTCTTCTAACTGCTTAGGTGTTATTCCGAATCGATTATCTTGCAAATTTATTTTTTCGAAAAATTTTCCGAATTTGTTTTCTAGTTTAGCTCAGCATCCGCTGAACCAATCAAAGAGTGCGCCATACATTTTTTGTTCGCTACTTTTTGCTAAAGACTTTGGCGGTATTCCCGAATGATTATCTCGAAAATTTTATTTTTTCGAAAATTTTTCATAAATTTATTTGAGTGTAGCTCAGCATCCGCTGGACCAATCTAAAAGTGCGCCATACATTTTTTGTTCGAAACTTTTTCCCTATTTTATTGGCGGTATTCCCGAACGATTATCTAGCGAATTTGATTTTTTGAAAATTTTTCCCACTTTTTTTGAGTGTAGCTCAGCATCCGCTGGACCATTCAAAAAGTGCGCCATACATTTTTTGTTCGAGACTTTTTGCTCAATTTTATGGCAATAATCCCGAGACATTATCTCGCGAATTTAATTTTTCGGAAATTTTTCCAAATTTGTTTTCTAGTGTAGCTCAGCATCCGCTGGACCAATCAAAAAGTTCGCCATACATTTTTTGTTCGAGACTTTTTGCTCAATTTTATGGCAATAATCCCGAGACATTATCTCGCGAATTTAATTTTTCGGAAATTTTTCCAAATTTGTTTTCTAGTGTAGCTCAGCATCCGCTGGACCAATCAAAGAGTGCGCCATACATTTTTTGTTCGAGACTCCCGGGTTAAGACTTTGGCGGTATTCCCGATCAATTATCTCGCAAATTTATTTTTTCGAAATTTTTTAAAAAGTTTATCTGAGTGTGGCTCAGCATCCGCTGCACCAATCAAAAAGTGCGCCATACATTTTTTGTTCGTGACTCCCGGGTTAAGACTTTGGCTGTATTCCCGACCAATTTTCTCGCAAATTTAATTTTTCGAAATTTTTTAAAAAATTTATCTGAGTGTGGCTCAGCATCCGCTGGACCAATCAAAAAGTGCGCCATACATTTTTTGTTCGTGACTCCCGGGTTAAGACTTTGGCTGTATTCCCGACCAATTATCTCGCAAATTTAATTTTTCGAAATTTTTTAAAAAATTTATTTGAGTGTGGCTCAGCATCCGCTGGACCAATCAAAAAGTGTGCCATACATTTTTTGTTCAGAACTTTCTTCTAACTGCTTAGGTGTTATTCCGAATCGATTATCTTGCAAATTTATTTTTTCGAAAAATTTTCCGAATTTGTTTTCTAGTTTAGCTCAGCATCCGCTGAACCAATCAAAGAGTGCGCCATACATTTTTTGTTCGCTACTTTTTGCTAAAGACTTTGGCGGTATTCCCGAATGATTATCTCGAAAATTTAATTTTTTCGAAAATTTTTCATAAATTTATTTGAGTGTAGCTCAGCATCCGCTGGACCAATCTAAAAGTGCGCCATACATTTTTTGTTCGAAACTTTTTCCCTATTTTATTGGCGGTATTCCCGAACGATTATCTAGCGAATTTGATTTTTTGAAAATTTTTCCCACTTTTTTTGAGTATAGCTCAGCATCCGCTGGACCATTCAAAAAGTGCGCCATACATTTTTTGTTCGAGACTTTTTGCTCAATTTTATGGCAATAATCCCGAGACATTATCTCGCGAATTTAATTTTTCGGAAATTTTTCCAAATTTGTTTTCTAGTGTAGCTCAGCATCCGCTGGACCAATCAAAAAGTGCGCCATACATTTTTTGTTCAGAACTTTCTTCTAATCACTATGGCGGTATTTCCGAAAGATTATCTAGCGAATTTAATTTTTTGAAAATTTTTCCAAATTATTTTTTAGTGTAGCTCAGCATCCGCTGGACCAATCAAAAAGTTCGCCATACATTTTTTGTTCGAGACTTTTTGCTCAATTTTATGGCAATAATCCCGAGACATTATCTCGCGAATTTAATTTTTCGGAAATTTTTCCAAATTTGTTTTCTAGTGTAGCTCAGCATCCGCTGGACCAATCAAAGAGTGCGCCATACATTTTTTGTTCGCTACTTTTTGCTAAAGACTTTGGCGGTATTCCCGAATGATTATCTCGAAAATTTAATTTTTTCGAAAATTTTTCATAAATTTATTTGAGTGTAGCTCAGCATCCGCTGGACCAATCTAAAAGTGCGCCATACATTTTTTGTTCGAAACTTTTTCCCTATTTTATTGGCGGTATTCCCGAACGATTATCTAGCGAATTTGATTTTTTGAAAATTTTTCCCACTTTTTTTGAGTGTAGCTCAGCATCCGCTGGACCATTCAAAAAGTGCGCCATACATTTTTTGTTCGAGACTTTTTGCTCAATTTTATGGCAATAATCCCGAGACATTATCTCGCGAATTTAATTTTTCGGAAATTTTTCCCAATTTGTTTTCTAGTGTAGCTCAGCATCCGCTGGACCAATCAAAAAGTGCGCTATACATTTTTTGTTTGAGACTTTTTCTCTATTTTATTGGCGGTATTCCCGAACGATTATCTAGCGAATTTGATTTTTTGAAAATTTTTCCAAATTATTTTTGAGTGTAGCTCAGCATCCGCTGGACCAATAAAAAAGTGCGCCATACATTTTTTGTTCAGAACTTTCTTCTAATCACTATGGCGGTATTTCCGAAAGATTATCTAGCGAATTTATTTTTTTGAAAATTTTTCCAAATTATTTTTTAGTATAGCTCAGCATCCGCTGGACCAATCAAAAAGTTCGCCATACATTATTTGTTCGAAACTTTTTCCCTATTTTATTGAAGGTGTTCCCGAACGATTATTTAGCAAATTTAATTTTTCGACATTTTTTCTAAAATTTTTTTGTGTGTAGCTCAGCATTCGCTGGACCAATTAAAAAGTGCGCCATACATTTTTTTTTCGCTACTTTTTTTTTTTTTGTTTGAAACTTTTTGACTATTTTTGCTTCCTCGTGGAGGAAGCTTTGTAGTCCTTTCGTTTATAAAACTTTTCAAAGTGGCGAAAACAAATTTTTTTCGTTATAGAAACATTTTATATGAGATCCTGATCAATTGTCCGGATGTATGTATGTGCGTGTGTGTGTGTGTGTGGATCCCTTTTTTGTTGAGAAGATAACTTTAACAGGTTGTAATGGATTTAGATAAAATTTGGCAGGCTCATTTATCATATTAATATCTCAAATCTGACCAAAGGATTTTTAAAAATACCTCAAAAAAAATTTTTATCGTCTTTTTTCCAAAAATTTTTTTTTTATCGAAAAAATTTTTAAATGGAAAAATTTAAGGTTATATATAATAAAATCGTATTCCTTACGTCAAGACGAATCGATCGATATATATATAAAGTATACATTTGAGGTAAATTTAAAGAATTAATGAAAGTTAAAAAATCAAAAATTCACATTTTAGCAATAAAACTTTGCTTTCTCCACGAGGAAGCAAATTTTTTTGCTGATCGTAAAGAGGAAGCAAAATGATCATGTAATGAACATCTGAATTTACAACTTGTTGTTGATTGTCATGTTTTTCAAAAAAAAATTTTATTATAAATTGTAAGCATTTCAATTGTGGTATATGAATTAAATAAATGAAAATAAATTTGTCTTATTCTTTAAATTTTCCTCCCCTTATTGTAATTTGTTAAGGACTTGTGACTGTTACGTAACTGTTATTTACTGCACTAAAAAACAAAATTTATTTCATTCAAATAATCGGTTACTTGTCAGTTTCCAAAAATTCAAAATGACGGATCTAATATGGCGGACGAATTTTTAAGAATTCAAGGAATTCACTTTAAATTCATTTCTCGAAGGGGTTTGGAGTCGCTGATTACGAATATGGCGTCAGTTTTCAAAAATTCAAAATGTCGGATCCAATATGGCGGATGATCTATTATAAAATTCAAATAATTCACTTAAAATTCGTTACTCTGGGTTTTTTTTTTGTGGTTGCTGACATCAGATTCGTAGTCAGTGCTCCGAAGAACCCCCGAGGAACGAATTTTAATTGAATTCCTTAAATTTTTAATAATTCTTCCGCCATATTGGTACGGCCATTTTGAATTTTCAAAAACTGACACCGGATTCTTAATCATCGACTTCAAAAACTCCCGAGTAACAAATTTCATGTGAATCTTATGTTTTTTGATAAGGAAAATTTTATATCTTTGATAATGGACCAAAACAAATACAAAATAATGAATATTTTGAAAATTTTACACGATTTTGAATTTGTTGTATTTTTTAGTATCAGTTGTAAAAATAAATTTTATGTACACAAAATTTACAAATTATTAGAAATTAATATCAGTAGTAAAAGTAGATTTCAGTCAGACGGGATTATTTATTAAAAATATTTTTTAGTATCTTAAGTAAAAATAAATTGTAATTACAAATAATTTTTAAATTATTGCAATTTAATATCAGTAGTAAAAGTAAGTTATAGTCAGACATAATTGTTGAAATTTTAGTAAATATTGTAAAAGTAAATTGTACAGTAATTTAATCAAGTTAAAATTTTTATCATTTTATTTTTGATAGAAAAACACATTTTAGTGAAACAATTAATAATTTTTAAAATTAGTATTTGCACTTCTCAAAGTTATAATAAATTTATTCCAAATACAAAATTTTAAGATTAACAAAAGCGATAAACTTTTACATTTTTCAATTTTCAGTACATTCATTTCCAGTCGAACATTGTCATATATCCTATTTGCAATATCCTGCAACCCATCCTGGCTCCTTGTGGCAATATCCTGAGCAACAATTACCTTGACTTCCATCAGGTTGACAGCCATCTCTGGTTCTAATGCAGGCCCATGTTGTTGGTGCCATTATTATCAAAATAACAGCAATAAGTAAGAAAAGTCCGTAAAATTTAAAGCTCATCATTTTCTTTTTCACTGAAATAATTATAAACAACAATAAACATCAAAGATAAAAATTAAATTATTAAGAAAATTAAGAAATAAAAATTAAATAAAATAATAATTATAATAATAATTATTATTATTAGTATTATTATTTTGTTATTATTATTATTACTATAGGTAAATTGTTATCTAGTCCTGATAATACACTCTAAGAAAAGTTTTGCTTAAACTTAATAAACCTTTTTTTTATATTAACATAAATTTTTTGTTATTTCAAACAAAATTTGTTTGATTCCAAAAAAATATTTATTTGATCTAAATAAACATTTGGTTTATTTTAATAAATTTTTCAAAAGAAGAAAGAATTCGATTGAGCGAAATAAATTTTTTGTTGATTCAACCAAAATTTGGTTGTTTCAAAAAAATTTTTATTATTTGTTTTGTTCTAAACAAAAATTTGTTAATTCAACCAAAATTAAAAGATTTTAAACAAAATTTGGTTGTTTCAAGAAATTTTGGTTGATTCAATCAAAATTTGATTGATTAAATAAGTTTTGGTTATTTTAAACAATATTTGATTGTTCCAAACAAAATTTGGTTATTTAAAAAAAAAAAATTGTTCTAAACAAAATTTGGTTTATTCCAACAAAGTTTGGTTGTTCTAAATAAAATTTGGTTCATTGAAACCAAATTTGATTGTTTTAAACAAAATTTGATTGTTCTAAACCAAAATTCACTAATTCAAACAAAATTTTGTTGTTTCAAACGAAATTTGGTTGATTCAATCAAAATTTGGTGGATTAAAAGAAATTTCGGTTATTTTTAACAATATTTTGTTGATTCAAAAAAAGTTTGATTGTTTTAAACAAAAATTTGGTTGTTGAAAACAAAGTTTGGTTGTTTGAAACAAAATTTAATTGTTCTAAACAAAATTTAGATGTTTTAAACAAAAAAATGGTTGTTTCAAACGAAGTTTGGATGATTGTATCAAAATTTGGTTGATTAAAACAAATTTTGGTTCTTTTAAACAATATTTGATTGTTTTAAATAAATTTTGGTTATTTTGAACAAAATTTGGTTGATTCAAACAAAGTTTGGTTGTTTTAAACAAAATTTAGATGTTCTAAACAAAATTTGGTTGATTCAAACAAAGTTTGGTTATTTTAAACAAAGTTTAATTGTTCTAAACAAAATTTGGTTGATTCAAACAAAGTTTGGTTGTTTTAAACAAAATTTAATGGTTCTTAACAAAATTTAGATGTTTTAAACAAAATTTGGTTGTTTCCTACAAAGTTTGGTTGTTCTAAACAAAATTTTGTTATTTTAAACAAATTTTTTTGCTAAGTATAGATAAACCAAATAAATTTTTTTTAAATTCGTAATTTTTTTTTGTTTTTAAGTACGAAACTCATGGTTTTAGTAAGAGTTACACTTGTCCAATTTTTTTTTTTTCAAAACTGACACTCATATTGAAATGAAAAATTGTTTACTTACATTAAATGTAGAACACGCAATTGAAGCAAGAACAACTGAATTGTGATTATTTTAGAATTGAACATGGCTTTTATATACGTATAAAATGAACGAAGAAAACTGGTTAGTCATTAACCAGTTTTGTGATGGCCAATGTATGGGAAAAAAGGACATATGGGAGCATGTTGTTTACCCCCACCCATAAACCTGTGCTTTCAGGATAAAATTTTATTAAGCTATTTTATTTCTTATTGGAATATTTTTATTTATTATTGAGAGATTATTTTTTAAAATTTATGGGTTTCTTATTTTATTTAGTGTTTTTTTTTTTCATTGTAAATTGTTTATCACTAAAATTTTGTTTCTAAAATAAAATTCACACAAAACAAGGCTATAATTATTTTTTGAGTTATTTTTAATCATCAAAACAAATGTTAATTAAAAATAAAATAATCTGCTACTCATTTATTTGCATTAGTGGAAGGGGCTTAAAGAGGAAGTGATTTCAGAGTGGTTGGCCTTTAGTATTTTTTGTAAAAACAATTGGGAAAACAATATTAAAAAGATAACCGAGAGAAGAAGTTTCCTCAACAGATTAAGATATTATTTTATTATTTTCTTTTTTATCAGTCAATATATATCAGAGCGGTTCATTAACATGTTTAATATAATTTTTTTTCTCAATATTTTATAATATATTGGTGAATTTAAAAAAATAATAAAAGGAAATTTTTTTTATCATCTATTAAATATTTGCATTTCGAGTATATTAATTTATCATAAAATTGTTCTATTTACTTTAGCCATTTCACAATTTATTATAAAATTTTTTTTTTTTTTTTTAAATTCAATTAAGAATGAAAAATTAATCGTCAAAGAAACTTTACTTTTTAGAGAAGATTTAGAATGTTCTTGAAGTATAAGATCAACAGTGTTATGAGATGTTTACTTCGAAAAGCAAAAAGGATTTTATATGCATGAAACGTTAAGGGAACTTGCACGTTTAACAAGAGATGCTGACATTTTTGCTGTGTAGTAACTGGAAGAGCAAGTTTCTTTTTTCCTTTAAAAAAAAAAAACAAAAAGAAAAGGGAAAGGATCAAAAGTTTCCTCCTTCTTGTTTGTAGTTTATCTCAGGATCACAAAGTGATCATAGCTCAGTAAATGAAGAAAAACACGAATATGGTTTAATGAAAGATGTAACCTTCAAAAAACCGGTCGTAATTCAGAATCTCCGCTTAATTTTTCTTTTTTTTTGAAAATCCTTATTTTACTTGCTTTTCATATTTATTCATATTTTATATCCTTATAAGGAAAGTAAACTCGTTATTGAGAAAAGTGTGTAAATTTTTAGAATATTTTATTTTAAATATTTTAAATTTTTATATATTAATGATATTATTTGAAAATAATACAAGGAAAAAATTATTTTCATAAAATTATTTTAAAAAAATTATTATAGGAAAAAAGAATTATTTAGCTACAGTAACTAACAGAATATTAGCTGAAAAAAATAATTTGCTACAGTAACTAAAATATTTGCTAAAAAGTTAGCTGAATATAAATTTAAAAAGAAATATAAAAAAAATAGTTTTTTAATACTCATGAAATTTTGTTGAATTTTAATTCATTTTATTTAAACATCCTTTAATTATTTTTATTGACATAATATAATTTTTAATATTTAATTTTTTTGGAGAATATTTTTCACCAAAAATGTGATACTAAGTTTTTCATTAGAATTATTATACCATATTGAAAGCTTTCTTCTAGCTCAACGGGTTTTTAATTAGTGATATCGAAAATCCCCGAATAATTACCTTTAAGCTCATTTGAGCAGGAATTGCAATTTCATGAGCCAGTGTAAAATTAGATTGTTCTTTGATTTTGAACATTGATGACAATTAAACATGAACAAATTTTCAAAACTGTCATTTTATTTTTTTTTTAAATAAATAAATCTAATTATTATTTTTTTTTTTAATTTTATTAATAAATCTAATTTTTTATATTATTATAATAATTATTATTATATATTCAATTTTACGAGATAAATAAATTATTATTATTATTATTTTTATCATTTTCAGTAAAAAGTATTTTAAATAAATAATTATTCAATTAGTATTTAAATACCAAGTTTTATTCAAGTCCAGGTTTTTTAAAAAACATTTGTCCGCCATATTGGATCCGCCATTTTGAATTTTTCAATTTAACTGTCATATTTGAATTTTGTGACTTCAAAAACATAGGAATACTAAGTTTTGAACAAATCAATCAATTTTTAGAAATTTAATTGAAATAAAAAAAATTCAAAATGGCGGATCCAATATGGCGGGCTAAATTTTTAAAAATGCTTAGATGTAAACAAAACTTTGTATTTAATCGACATATTTTAATTCAACGGCCTCAAGAACATTAGAATACGAAAGTTTTTTTTTAAATCTAAACATTTTTAAAAGTTTTCAGTCCTCAATATTGGATCCACTATTTTAAATTTTTCTATTTATTCGTCATATTTAAATTAAGTGACCTCAAAATTATTAGAATACAAAGTTTCGTTCTACATTTATTTAGTTTCATTTTAATCCAAGGATCATTAAATTTAGTCCATTTGTTCAAGAAATATTAGGTTTAAACAAAATAATACACTGTGATTTCTCCATATATTAATTTTTAATTACTTACAATACTACTATTATTATTATTTTTACATTTGTTGATTTCTGTTCTAACTTTAATTATTGATTTTAGAAAAATAAAAATAAGAAGCTATTTACGCTTTCGAACATTAACATTTTCAACTGAGGAAAATTGCGATGTACATACAAATTCCCAACAGTTTATGAGTTGGAAACTCGGCTAACTGGAGAGTTTTCTTTATTTGCTTAAATAGTATACATATATATATGTATATAGTCACATTTCGTGTTGCAAACCGATTTTCATTGGAGTTAAACTAAGGTTTCTAGTTTCTAATGAGAATTCTCACACTCAGGTAACTAGACATAGTGAGAGCAAAGTGTAACGGTTCGAATGGTACGACTGATATACAACAGTTTGCTAGCCCGTATGTATGATCAATTTAGTGATATATATTCTACCACACCTGGGAATCAGCAATTGCTTCTCTACTCTGTATCCTGTACCAGTTGGTTCCTCTTCCCTGCGATATGCATATATATATATATATATATATATATATATATATATGTATGTATGTCTATGTATAACAGCAGAGGCTTGGCAACTATTCATCGACGAATATCCCTGTGAGGCTATGAGGGTTCGGCATGCGACTTCAGTTCAGATGAGTGCCGATTTGCCCAACAGCCTGCACTAGATATTGGAGACAATTTCCAACAATTGCTATAACTTTGCTCGGCCTCTGGATACCAATTATCGAACGCTCATATGATGATTGGATTCTCCGATGATTGTTTCAAGTTGCACTATATTTTCTAACTATTATATATACTCTAATCAAATTATCATTCATTCGAATCAACCGGCAATATTCATTTCTAATATACAAGGGGGTATTCCAGTGTTTTTTGAGATCACTAAATTCAAATATGACAGTTAAATTGAAAAATTCAAAATGGAGGATTCAATATGGCGAACAAACTTTTTTTTTTTAAATGCTTGGATTTAAACAAAAGATATTGAACTTCGAATTTTCATAACGGCTTCAAAAACATTGGAGGTTCAAAAATGTTTGTTAAATCTAAGAATTTTTAAAACTTTTTTAGTTCGACATATTGGATATGCCATTTAAAAATTTTTAAATTTAACCATAGAATCAGCTCCCGCTCTTTTTTTTAAATACGTCTTTAAATTTTTATCTGTATTTTTTGTTGTCATTTACAAAAAAAACACAATTATTCTACGTTATTACGCAATATTATGCGTTATTATATGTTATTACACATTACTAGGCGTCATTACTCGTTAATACAAGATCCTTTAGAAATTACAATATGAGGAAAAAAATTTGAAGAATAAGAAAAATTTATTTTTACTCATTTATTTAATTCATATACCATGATTGAAATCACAATAACAAATCAAAGAAATTGGTAAGTTTATTGGATTTATGAATTTTTTTCAATTCGAACATTGTCATATATCCTATTTGCAATATCCTGCAACCCAATTTGCTTCTTTGTAACAAAATCCTGAGCAGCATACTCCTTGACTACCATCAGGTTGACATCCATCTCTATTTCTAATACATTGAGCCAAAGAAGTTGGTGCAATTATCAAAATTACAGCAAAGAGAAAGAAAAGTCCACATAAATTGAAGCTCATCATTTTGTTTTTTTTTTGTACTGAAAATTAAAATTTAAATATTTAAATTTTAAATCCATTTATTTATCTGTATAAATTTCTTAGCTATCAAAATCGAAATTAAATTTTAGAATTTTCGGCTTCAGGCCAAAAAACCCTAATTTTATAAGAAATTTTAATTTTTGAAATCTGATTTCAGATTCGTAATTTACTGTCACAGCAAACTTTTTTTATGCGTTTACTTGTAAGAAAGTAATAAATTTAGTTTCGTTAATATTTTCTATTTTAATTAAAAATAAAAATAATAATAATTTAATAATAATAATAATAATAATAATAATAATATAAGCAGAAAATTAACTTTAAAGGTAAAAATTTTTTTTGTTCAAAAACAAATAGAAAATCGCCATTTTGAAATTCGCTATTTTTCAAAAGTACAAAATTACTTACTATTTTTGTTGATATGTTCGAAGAAGCTCAATAGAATTGTAAGTGCCTACTTGCAAATTTATCGAAGTATTTATATCAAAATGATTTAAGATAAATTGTAAATGTTTGCACTGATACGAAACAAAAAACATTTTTTTTTTTTTTTGCTTCAATTGCTTGACCCAGTGACATATTGTTTGACAAACAAAATGAATAAACACTCTTTTAAATTGTGAAAGAAAATTTTTACCTTCTTTTTCGATATATTGTTATTACAGTTGAATTTGCAAGAAAAAAAAAATAAAAAAAAAATTAACCACTTGATTCATTTTCTTCGTATAAAAACCATGTTCAATCTTAATGTAATCACTTCTAACTCAGTACTTGTAATTTCTGCAATTATTGTCTTGTAAACTTTTTGTAAGTAAAATTTTTCACTTCTAAAACTAGTAATTTAAAAAGATTTCAAGGAAAAAAAATATTTACCTGAAGCAACGAAAAGTGTAACTAAAATAGCAAAAAGTTTTAATTGTTTCAGTTAATTTTTTCATTATTCTAGTGAAATTATGGCTGTTTCAGATAAATTTTTTTTCCGTGTTAAATGTTGTATAAATATTGACAAAAAAAAATTATTGAAAAAATTAATAATTTTGCTTTAAAAAAAAAATTTATAATAATATTTAATTTTAGTACAAAAAAAAACAAAATGATGAGCTTCAATTTATGTGGACTTTTCTTTCTCTTTGCTGTAATTTTGATAATTGCACCAACTTCTTTGGCTCAATGTATTAGAAATAGAGATGGATGTCAACCTGATGGAAGTCAAGGAGTATGCTGCTCAGGATTTTGTTACAAAGAAGCAAATTGGGTGGCAGGATATTGCAAATAGGATATATGACAATGTTCGACTTGAAAAAAATTCATAAATCCAATAAACTTACCAATTTCTTTGATTTGTAAACATTTTGGCTCTTTAATTTTGTTACAAAGAAGCAAATTGGGTTGCAGGACATTGCCGTTAAAAAATATCATAAATTCAATAAAAATACTAATTCTGTTGATTCAAAATTTTTAAAATATTTACAAAATTTTACTACATATTGTATACACATTTCAGTTTTCAATTGTCTCTGTCAATGTGTTCAACATAAAATTCATGTATTTGAAATTTAAAAAAAATATAAATTTTCACCTTTATTCCAATTCGTATTAATTTTCTTCCTTTTACGATGACTTTGATTTTAATCATTTGATAAAAAATTTGTGTGGTATTAGTTTAGTAAAAAAAAAAAAAAAATTGCAAACTTTCAAAAATTAGATTTTACATTTACGACATTCAAAATCGAATTTAATCCAAAAACATAATTATTTTAATTTTTTATATGAATTCAATCTACTAGGACAACTAACAATTTTGCTGAGGCAGCAAAAAATTCGCTATCTCAGCAAACTTCTTATACAAATTCTCTAAATTTGAATTCATTCATTAATTTAAATTAGTAAAGATATCTACTAATTTTACAGTAATTTTTCACAAAAACTTTAGAAGAACAAAACAAAATTCAACAAATAAAAAATATTTTTATTTGAATTAAATAAATTATATTTGAACAAATAATAGTATATATTAATATACTAGGCATATGGTGCAATAGCCGTGTTTCAAAATCTGGTCAAATTTTCAAAATATTCACCATTTTGTATTTGTTTTGGTCCATTATTAAAGATATAAAATTTTCCTAATCAAAAAACATAAGATTAACATAAAAAACTCGGGAGTTTTTGAAGTCGATGATTAAGAATCCGGTGTCAGTTTTTAAAAATTCAAAATGGCCGTACCAATATGGCAGAAGAATTATTGAAAATTTTTAAGAATTCAATTAAAATTCGTTCCTCGGGGGTTCTTGGGAGCACTAACTACGAATCTGATATCGGCAACCCAAAAAAAACCCAAAGTAACGAATTTTAAGTAAATTATTTGAATTTTATAAAAGATCATCCGCCATATTGGATCCGACATTTTGAATTTTTGAAAACTGACGCCATATTCGTAATCAGCGACTCCAAACCCCCTCGAGAAATGAATTTTAAGTGAATTCCTTGAATTCTTAAAAATTCGTCCGACATATTAGATCCGTCATTTTGAATTTTTGAAAACTGACAAGTAACCGATTATTTGAATGAATTAAATTCTACTTTTAGTGCAGTAAATAACAGTTACGTAACAGTCACAAGTCCTTAAAAAATTACAATAAGGGGAGGAAAATTTAAAGAATAAGACAAATTTATTTTCATTTATTTAATCCATATACCATAATTGAAATGCTTACAATTTATAATAAAATTTTTTTTTGAAAAACATGACAATCAACAAAATGATTGAACCAGTACTGAACGCCAGTACTAAGCCATTACTAATGACCAGTACTAATAAACGTTATCATCCCAAACATATGCCAGTATTGGTTCAATATTGGCGGTCAGTACTTTGTCAGTAATTACCAGTACTGGCGCAACACTGTGCCGGTTGTAAATTTTAGCTTGGGTGTGCTTCCACCAGAAAACTAGTAATTTTTCAAAGAAATTTCTCTCCTAGACGAACCCTTATAGCCTCACAACAAATTTTTTAAATCAACGTTATGATTGAAGAGAAATAAGACAAATAGAATTAAAGGTGAAATTTTATTTCAAATACATGTATTTTAAGTTGAAGATATTGTTAAAAACAATTGAAAATTAAAATTTGTTTACATTATACAGTATTTTTAAAAAGTGACAAAAAAAATTAAAGAGCCAAAATGTTTACAAATCAAAGAAATTGATAAGTTTATTGCATTTATGAATTTTTTTCAATTCGAACATTGTCATATATCCTATTTGCAATATCCTGCAACCCAATTTGCTTCTTTGTAACAAAATCCTGAGCAGCATACTCCTTGACTTCCATCAGGTTGACATCCATCTCTATTTCTAATACATTGAGCCAAAGAAGTTGGTGCAATTATCAAAATTACAGCAAAGAGAAAGAAAAGTCCACATAAATTGAAGCTCATCATTTTGCTTTTTTTTGTACTGAAAGGTAAATATTATTATAAATTTTTTTTTAAAGCAAAATTATTAATTTTTTCAATAATTTTTTTTTGTCAATATTTATACAACATTTAACACGGAAAAAAATTTATCTGGAACAGACAAATATTTCACTAGAATAATGAAAAAATTAACTGAAACAATTAAAACTTTTTGCTATTTTATTTACACTTTTCGTTGCTTCAGGTAAATATTTTTTTTCCTTGAAATCTTTTTAAATTACTAGTTTTAGAAGTGAAAAATTTTACTTACAAAAAGTTTACAAGACAATAATTGCAGAAATTACAAGTATTGAGTTAGAAGTGATTACATTAAGATTGTACATGGTTTTTATACGAAGAAAATGAATCAAGTTGTTAATTTTTTTTTTATTTTTCTTTTTTTGCAAATTCAACTGAAATAACAATATATCGAAAAAGAAGGTAAAAATTTTCTTTTACAATTTAAAAGAGTGTTTATTCATTTTATTTGTCAAACAATATGTCAGTGGGTCAAGCAATTGAAGCAAAAAGAAAAAACTGTTTTTGTTTCGTATCAGTGCAAACATTTACAATTTACCTTAAATCATTTTGATATAAATACTTTGATAAATTTGCAAGTAGGTACTTACAATTCTGTTGAGCTTCTTCGAACATATCAACAAAAACAGTAAGTAATTTTGTACTTTTGAAAAATAGCGAATTTCAAAATGGCGATTTTCTATTTGTTTTTGGACAAAAAAAATTTCTACCTTTAAAGTTAATTTTCTGCTTATATTATTATTATTATTATTATTTTTAATTAAAATAGAAAATATTAACGAAACTAAATTTATTACTTTCTTACAAGTAAACGCATAAAAAAAGTTTGCTGTGACAGTAAATTACGAATCTCAAATCAGATTTCAAAAATTAAAATTTCTTATAAAATTAGGGTTTTTTGGCCTGAAGCCGAAAATTCTAAAATTTAATTTCGATTTTGATAGTTAAGAAATTTATATAGATAAATAAATGGATTTTAAATTTAAATATTTAAATTTTAATTTTCAGTACAAAAAAAAACAAAATGATGAGCTTCAATTTATGTGGACTTTTCTTTCTCTTTGCTGTAATTTTGATAATTGCACCATCTTCTTTGGCTCAATGTATTAGAAATAGAGATGGATGTCAACCTGATGGAAGTCAAGGAGTATGCTGCTCTGGATTTTGTTACAAAGAAGCAAATTGGGTTGCAGGATATTGCAAATAGGATATATGACAATGTTCGACTTGAATAAAATTCATAAATCCAATAAATTTATCAATTTCTATGATTTGTAAACATTTTGGCTCTTTAATTTTTTTTTTGTCACTTTTAAAAAATACTGTATATTGTAAACAACTTTTAATTTTCAATTGTTTTTAACAATATCTTCAACTTAAAATACATGTATTTGAAATAAAATTTCACCTTTAATTCTATTTGTCTTATTTCTCTTCAATCATAACGTTGATTTAAAAAATTTGTTTTAAATTTAAAATAAATAAATAACAAAATTGCTAAATTTCGAAAATTTCAAATATATTGCAAATATATGCCCGTCTTTAAACCATTTTACTGTCAAAAGCATTTGACTTCTACTATTTCTGTTTTTGCAAATGACAGAGCAACTGTAAATTTATCGATTGCCATCGAAAACTCAAAATCGATTATTTTGAGCTAAGGTCCCTTTTGTCGTGGAGCTTCACATATGATGATTGGGTTCTCCGATGATTGTTTCAAGTTGCACTATATTTTCTAACTATTATATACTATTATATACTAAAAATACGCAGAAATTGAAGTTCATCATTTTTTTTTGTAGTGAAAGTTGTAAAAATTATTGTAAGAAATTGTTAATATTTACACTTGAAAGAAAAAAAACAATTATTTTGTGTCAATTTCTGCTAGGAGAGAAATTTCTTTGAAAAATTACTAGTTTTCAGGTGGAAGCACACCCAAGCAAAAATTTACAACAAGCACAGTGTTGCGCCAGTACTGGTAATTACTGGCAAAGAACTGACCGCCAATATTGAACCAATACTGGCATATGTTTGGGATGATAACGTTTATTAGTACTGGTCATTATAGTAATGGCTTAGTACTGGCGTTCAGTACTGGTTCAATCATTTTGTTGATTGTCATGTTTTTCAAAAAAAAATTTTATTATAAATTGTAAGCATTTCAATTATGGTATCACAGAAAAAACCTGAATTCAAATTGAGTATAGATTCTATACTCAATTTGATTCGCAACAAAAATGAAACTGGTTTTCATTTCATTTCGAGTTCTAAGGTAAAAGTATCAAAATGAAACAGGCAAGTTTCATTTTGAGAAAAAGAAAAATGGAAAAATATTGTGAAATAACGAATAATTTTGCACAAAAACATGAAATATAATAATTACAAAGAAGTAAATAACACGCTAGACTTAATATATTTGATTAAAAATTGCTTGTAATCGCGTAATAAAATAATAAAGGAAATATGTTTTTAGGTTAGAAAAATGAAAACATGTGTTTTGACAACAGGAACGGTACTGCCAACTTAAATAATAGCGGTAAATTTAAAAACTTATGAAATTAATTATTATCTACGTAAATAATAATAAATAATTTTTATTTAAAAACTTCTAAATATTCGTACTGGTCAAAATAATCTTTCTGGTGTTGTTGAAATATTAGAAACAATAATTGAAATACAAAATTACTCTGCTTATGATGCCAACTTAGAAATCTGAAATTCCAGCCAATATCATTTTGAATAACATGAAGTTTGTCCCATACTCATTTCGATACCCAAAAGAAAATGAGTTGCAACAAAAATGAGTCCAAGTTTTTTCTGTGATATGAATTAAATAAATGAATATAAATTTGTCTTATTCTTTAAATTTTCCTCCCCTTATTGTAATTTTTTAAGGACTTGTGACTGTTACGTAACTGTTATTTACTGCACAAAAAAAAAATTTATTTCATTCAAATAATCGGTTACTTGTCAGTTTTTAAAAATTCAAAATGACGGATCTAATATGGCGGACGAATTTTTAAGAATTCAAGGAATTCACTTAAAATTCATTTCTCGAGAAGGTTTGGAGTCGCTGATTACGAATATGTCGTCAGTTTTCAAAAATTCAAAATGTCGGATCCAATATGGCGGATGATCTTTTATAAAATTCAAATAATTCACTTAAAATTCGTTACTCTGGGTTTTTTTTTGGTTGCCGACATCAGATTCGTAATCAGTGCTCCCAAGAACCCCCGAGGAACGAATTTTAATTGAATTCTTTAAATTTTCAGTAATTCTTCCGCCATATTGGTACGGCCATTTTGAATTTTTAAAAACTGACACCGGATTCTTAATCATCGACTTCAAAAACTCCCGTGTATTTCATGTGAATCTTATGTTTTTTGATTAGGAAAATTTTATATCTTTAATTATTTATGGACCAAAACAAATACAAAATGGAGAATTGGCTTGCAGTATTGGCACAGTATAGAATTTAATCCATAGCAGTACTGAACCAATAATGGTAAGCCAACTGTCGGCCAGCCAGTATTAGTGCATGATTGCGCCAGTTGTCAATATCGGCGTTTGACAGAAATTTTTACTTGGGCAGTAATTTTTTTAAAGTTTCTATCCGTGTGAATGACCTATTCACATTATTTGTTTAATAAAGAAAATGAATAAACAATTTCTATTTAGTTTTTTGAGGAAACTTTTTATCATTGTTTCTTAGTTTGTTATTTCAGTTTTTCTTTAATAAACACTAACTGGTTTTTTCTTGGTTCATTATACTCGTATAAAAAGCATGCTCAATCCTAATATCATCACTAATAACTCAGTTATTATCTTGCTGTAAACTGTCTTCTGCAATAGATGTGAGTAAAGTTTTCTACTTCTTAGACACAATTAAAAGTTTATAAAGTATTTAATTTTTTTCAAAAAATTAATAAAATAAATAAAAGAAGTTTTAGTTTTTGCAATTATAGAAAAATAAATTTTAGCGTTAATAAAAATTTTAGCGACAATAATTTTCACTTTCAGTACCAAAAAAAAAAAAAATGATGAGCTTCAAATTCTGTGTATTTTTCTTTGTCATTGCTACAATTTTGATAATTGCACCAACTTCTTTGGCTCAATGTATTAGAAATAGAGATGGATGTCAACCTGATGGTAGTCAAGGAGTATGCTGCTCAGGATTTTGTTACAAAGAAGCAAATTGGGTTGCAGGATATTGCAAATAGGATATATGACAATGTTCGACTTGAATAAAATTCATAAATCCTATAAACTTACCAATTTCTTTGATTTGTAAACATTTTGGCACTTTAATTTTTTTGTCACTTTTTAAAAATACTGTATATTGTAAACAAATTTTAATTTTTAATTGTTTTTAACAATATCTTCAACTTAATATACATGTATTTGAAATAAAATTTCACCTTTAATTCTATTTGTCTTATTTCTCTTCAATGATAACGTTGATTTAAAAAATTTGTTTTAAATTTAAAATAAATAAATAACAAAATTGCTTTTTAAAAATTGTAATTGTTGCTCAGGATATTGCCACAAGGAGCCAGGATGGGTTGCAGGATATTGCCGTTAAAAAAAATATCATAAATACACCCAAAGAAATTTTTAATTTTGATTTACTTGAGACAAATAAATTTTATTTACCTCGAAAAAATATATATATTTGTCTCAGGCCTAATAACTATTTACTTATTTCAACAAAAAAAATTGTATTTAGTACAAATAAAATTTTACTTAACGCAAATAAAATTTTTATTTAAAGCAAATAAAAATTTTATTTCAACCAAATTAAAGTTTTATTTAAACTAAATACAATTTTTACATAAAACCCATTAAAATTCAATTGAAACAAATAAAAATTTATTTGTCTCTAAAAGATGTTCCCCTCGTGTGTTATAGCAATCTAATTAAAAAAATTCAAAGTGTCAGAATATTTTTAATAATATGATACACGAGAGAATTCAATTTATATAATATTATATAAATTAGATTAAACTACTAAATGTAACACTCAAGTAGGTCTCTTTTGCAATGTATATATAGTCTTTTGTAATGAATCGTCTCGTTTTATGTCTATGTGCATTCTCCGGCCAGATTGACACCTGACTGGAAAGTAAATTCAGCAAGTGAATCAGATTTTCCATTACAGCTCATTTCAGTATCGCTTTACACAATGCTTCACAAAACCCTGTAAGACGCCAGGGCGTCTTTCTTCTTTGGACGTGACGTAGTTAACTGTTGAGTTTTCCTCTCTTAAAATGAACTCTATAACGATTTTCTTTCTCACGTATATATATATATAACCACATTGATATAATGCTTAAAGTGCGGTTTCCCTTTTTTCTTAATTATATTTTAATTAACTAATTTCATATTAATTAAAATTTATAATTATTTTAATTAAATTTTTTTTTCTTTTAATTTATTTTTTATTTAACTCAAGTTTTTATTAATAAATTGTTACTGTTTTACGTGAGAAAAAGTTTTAAATAAATTTAAAATTTACGTTTCATTTCAGAACTTTTTTTTACTTAGAAAAGAAAAATAGAAAATGTAAAAAAAGAGAAAAAAAACAAGTTAGAATAATAAATAATGTAAAAATACGGGTTGAGGAATTTGAAATTTAAAAAAGTCGTTTTTGCTGTCTAGACTTTAATTTTTATTCCTCATGTATTGTAGCGGACACTTGAGTAGTAAGCGCTCGATACGAAGGGAGAAAAATGATCCTAAAATTTATCTCTCACCGGCAGCACCTCGTTTCTCTTCCACGATATGGTATAGATAGGTGCAATACTATATATAGGTCTACCATCATAGACTTATACATAAAGAGATAGTCATATGCAGCATATTTCATTTCATATTTTATATATATATATATATATTATTAAGTGCACTTCATTTTCAACGCACACAACTCAACTATTTTTTTACAACTTGTTTTGAAACTATCAATATATTTAAAGTTATATTCCATTTTTACTTTCAGAAAAAAAAATTGTTTGAAACAACCAAAGCTTTGGTTGAATTATCCAAATAAATGTATTGCTGTCCAGGGGATCAATTACGTAACTTTTTCCGAATCCCACATTCCGTATCTAATTCCGGATCCCACCTTTCACTTTCAAAATTCCTTATTCCGTATTTCAAATTTAGTATTCTACATTCCGGATTCCACTTTTCACATTCTGTATTCCGAATTCCACATTCTGGATCCCACTTTCAAAATTTTACATTCCGGATTCCACTTTTCAAATTCCGTATTTCACTTTTGCATTCCGTATTCCGAATTGCACTTTCCACACTCCAGATTCGACTTTCCACATTCCAAGTCCCACATTTCGGATTCCCCATCCCACATTCTGAAAGTGGAATACAGAATGTGGAAAGTGGAATGCGGAATGTGGGAT